AGTTCAGAAACTAAGGAAAGAATATTGAAGGCTGTAAGAGAGAAAAAACAAGTAACATACAAAGGTAAACCCATCAAAATCACAGCAGACTTCTCAACAGAAACATTAAAAGCAAGAAGAGCGTGGGGTGAGATCTTCCGGGCACTGAATGAAAATAACTTCAACCCCAGGATACTCTACCCAGCAAAGCTATCATTCAAAATAGATGGAGCAATAAAAGTCTTCCATGATAAGCAGAAACTAAAACAATATGTGACCACAAAGCCACCATTACAAAAGATTCTGCAAGGGATTCTGCACACAGAAAGTGACACCCAACTTAACCATGAAAAGGCAGGCAGCACCAAACCACAGGATAAGAAAAAGCAAGACAGTAGAGAGTAACATCAAGTTAGGTACACACAATCAAACCTTCAAACAACTAAGACAACTAAATGGCAGGAATCACCACATACCTATCAGTACTAACACTTAATGTTAATGGACTTAATTCACCCATCAAAAGACACCGTTTGACAAAATGGATTAAAAAGAAGATCCAACAATTTGTTGCTTACAGGAGACTCATCTCACCGACAGAAATAAGCATATGCTTAGGATGAAAGGCTGGAAGAAGATTTACCAAGCCAATGGCCCCGAAAACAGCAGGAGTAGCAATACTTATCTCTGACAAAGTAGACTTCAAACCTACATTGATCAAACGAGATAAAGAAGGACATTCCATACTAATAAAAGGGGAAATAGACCAAAAGGAAATAATAATCATCAATCTGTACGCACCCAATGTCAACGCACCCAATTTCATCAAACATACCCTGAAAGACCTAAAAGCATATATAAACGCCAACACAGTGGTTGTGGGAGACTTTAACACTCCATTATCATCAATAGATAGGTCATCCAAACAAAAACTCAATAAAGAAATCCAAGATCTAAAATATGCAATAGATCAAGTGGACCTAGTAGATGTCTACAGAACATTTCATCCAACCTCTACACAATATACATTCTTCTCAGCAGCCCATGGAACCTTCTCCAAAATAGATCATATCCTAGGGCACAAAGCAAGCCTCAGCAAATATAAGAAAATAGAAATAATACCATGCATACTATCTGACCACAATGCAGTAAAAGTAGAACTCAACAACAAAAGTAAAGACAAAAAACATGCAAACAGCTGGAAACTAAATAACTCATTACTTAATGAAGAATGGATCATCGATGCAATAAAAGAGGAAATTAAAAAGTTCCTGGAAGTCAATGAAAATGAAAACACAACCTACCGGAACCTATGGGACACAGCTAAGGCAGTCTGAGAGGAAAGTTTATAGCCATGAGTGCATATATTAAAAAGATTGAAAGATCCCAAATCAATGACCTAATGATACATCTCAAACTCCTAGAAAAACAAGAACAAGCAAATCCCAAAACAAATAGAAGGAGAGAAATAATAAAAATAAGAGCTGAAATCAACGAAATAGAAACCAAAAAAACCATACAAAGAATTAATGAAACAAAAAGTTGGTTCTTTGAAAAAATAAACAAGATCGATAGACCCCTGGCAAACCTGACTAAAATGAGGAGAGAAAAAACCCAAATTAGTAGAATCAGGAATGCAAAAGGGGAGATAACAACAAACACCATGGAAGTCCAGGAAATCATCAGAGACTACTTTGAGAACCTATATTCAAATAAATTTGAAAATCTTAAAGAAATGGACAGATTTCTAGATACATATGATCATCCAAAACTGAACCAAGAGGAAATTAATCACCTGAATAGACCTATAACACAAAATGAAATTGAAGCAGCAATCAAGAGTCTCCCCAAAAAGAAAAGTCCAGGACCTGATGGATTCTCTGCTGAATTCTATCAGACCTTTAAAGAAGAACTGATACCAACCCTCCTTAAACTGTTCCATGAAATAGAAAGGGAAGGAAAACTGCCAAACACATTTTATGAAGCCAGTATTACACTTATCCCAAAACCAGGCAAAGACACCTCCAAAAAGGAGAACTATAGGCCAATCTCCTTAATGAACATTGATGCAAAAATCCTCAACAAAATAATGGCAAACCGAATTCAGCAACACATCAAAAAGATTATTCACCACGACCAAGTAGGCTTCATCCCAGGGATGCAGGGGTGGTTCAACATACGAAAATCAATAAACGTAATAAACCACATTAACAGAAGCAAAGACAAAAACCACTTGATCATCTCAATAGATGCAGAAAAAGCCTTTGATAAGATCCAACATCATTTCATGATAAAAGCTCTAAGAAAACTAGGAATAGAAGGAAAGTTCCTCAACATTATAAAAGCTATATATGACAAACCTACAGCCAGCATTATACTTAACGGAGAAAAATAAAACCATTCCCTCTAAAATCAGGAACCAGACAAGGATGCCCACTATCTCCACTCCTATTCAACATAGTACTGGAATTCCTAGCCAGAGCAATTAGGCAAGAAGAAGGAATAAAAGGAATACAAATAGGTAAAGAAACTGTCAAAATATCCCTATTTGCAGATGACATGATCCTATACCTTAAAGACCCAAAAAACTCTACTCAGAAGCTTCTAGACATCATCAATAGCTATAGCAAGGTAGCAGGATATAAAATCAACATAGAAAAATCATTAGCATTTCTATACACTAACAATGAGCAAACTGAAAAAGAATGTATGAAAACAATTCCATTTACAATAGCCTCAAAAAAAATCAAATACCTAGGTGTAAACCTAACAAAAGATGTGAAAGACCTCTACAAGGAAAACTATACACTTCTGAAGAAAGAGATTGAGGAAGACTATAGAAAGTGGAGAGATCTCCCATGCTCATGGATTGGTAGAATCAACATAGTAAAAATGTCGATACTCCCAAAAGTAATCTACATGTTTAATGCAATTCCCATCAAAATTCCAATGACATTCATTAAAGAGACTGAAAAATCTACTGTGAAATTTATATGGAAACACAAGAGGCCACGAATAGCCAAGGCAATACTCAGTCAAAAGAACAATGCAGGAGGTATCACAATACCTGACTTCAAACTATATTACAAAGCAATAACAATAAAAACAGCATGGTACTGGCACAAAAACAGACATGAAGACCAGTGGAACAGAATAGAGGATCCAGATATGAAGCCACACAACTATAACCAACTTATCTTTGACAAAGGAGCTAAAAATATACGATGGAGAAATAGCAGCCTCTTCAACAAAAACTGCTGGGAAAACTGGTTAGCAGTCTGTATATCACCCTATACCAAGATTAACTCAAAATGGATCAAGGATCTTAATATCAGACCCCAAACTCTTAAGTTGATACAAGAAAGAGTAGGAAATACTCTGGAGTTAGTAGGTATAGGTAAGAACTTTCTCAATGAAACCCCAGCAGCACAGCAACTAAGAGATAGCATAGATAAATGGGACCTCATAAAACTAAAAAGCTTCTGTTCATCAAAAGAAATGGTCTCTAAACTGAAGAGAACACCCACAGAGTGGGAGAAAATATTTGCCAACTATACATCAGACAAAGGACTGATAACCAGAATATACAGGGAACTTAAAAAACTAAATTCTCCCAAAACTAATGAACCAATAAAGAAATGGGCATGTGAACTAAGCAGAACTTCCTCAAAAGAAGAAATTCAAATGGCCTGAAAACACATGAAAAAATGCTCACCATCTCTAGCAATAAAGGAAATGCAAATTAAAACCACGCTAAGATTCCACCTCACCCCTGTTAGAATAGCCATCATCAGCAACACCACCAACAACAGGTGTTGGCGAGGATGCGGGGAAAAAGGAACCCTCTTACACTGTTGGTGGGAATGTAGACTAGTACAACCACTCTGGAAAAAAATTTGGAGGCTACTTAAAAAGCTGGACATCGATCTACCATTTGATCCAGCAATACCACTCTTGGGGATATACCCAAAAGACTGTTACTCCAGAGGCACCTGCACATCCATGTTTATTGCGGCACTATTCACAATAGCCAAGTTATGGAAACAGCCAAGATGCCCCACCACTGACGAATGGATTAAGAAAATGTGGTATCTATACACAATGGAATTTTATGCAGCCATGAAGAAGAACGAAATGTTATCATTCGCTGGTAAATGGATGGAATTGGAGAACATCATTCTGAGTGAGGTTAGCCTGGCCCAAAAGACCAAAAATCGTATGTTCTCCCTCATATGTGGACATTAGATCAAGGGCAAACACAACAAGGGGATTGGACTATGAGCACATGATAAAAGCGAGAGCACACAAGGGAGGGGTGAGGATAGGTAAGACACCTAAAAAACTAGCTAGCATTTGTTGCCCTTAACGCAGAGAAACTAAAGCAGATACCTTAAAGCAACTGAGGCCAATAGGAAAAGGGGACCAGGAACTAGAGAAAAGGTTAGATCAAAAAGAATTAACCTAGAAGGTAACACCCACGCACAGGAAATCAATGTGAGTCAATGCCCTGTATAGCTATCCTTATCTCAACCAGCAAAAACCCTTGTTCCTTCCTATTATTGCTTATACTCTGTCTACAACAAAATTAGAAATAAGGGCAAAATAGTTTCTGCTGGGTATTGAGGGGGGGAGCGGGAGGGGGTGGAGTGGGTGGTAAGGGAGGGGGTGGGGGCAGTGGGGAGAAATGAACCAATCCTTGTATGCACATATGAGTAATAAAAGAAAAATGAAAGGAAAAAATAAATAAATAAAGCCACTAATGTCAAAAAAAAAAAAAAGAAAAAGAAAACATTCATAGTGGATCACTAAATTGGAAAAAAAAAAAAAAAAAAGAAAAAGATGAGAACTCAGGCTGGCCCCATCAGGCCTACTCTGCCTTTCTCTTCTTGGCTTCCCTCCTCCTCACCTACAATGTAGCTATTTGAAAACCACTATAGAAAAAGTGCCCTCCCACAGCTTTGCTCACAAATGTTAAGAGACTATTACATCAAGCTGCATTTAAGAAGACATCCAAAACTTACTTGACAGTCCAGTGCTGTTGATGTTTTGGTATTCAGTATAAAAAACTGCTTTTTCAAGCATTCCTAGGAAAATAACAGCTGCAATCCAGAACTGGATTCTTAATATATCTTTCCAATAACAGGCAGACCACATCAGCCAAAGCACACCATAAAATATATAAACAATACACATCACCATGTAAAACTGTAGGAAGAGAAGCGATTTTAGTAGTTAAACCTTGTGATCATTTGAGGTGCTTTTTTTTTTTTTTTTTTTTTTTTTTGCCAGTTCTTGGGTTTGAACTCAGTCTCACTCTTGCTAGATACTCTATACCACTTGAGCCATTCTGCCAGCCCCTTTTTGATCATTTGACAGTTGACATTTCTACATTCAAGCATTCAATGCTTCATTTTCCAGTCAATACGGAACCAGAAATAGAGGGTATGTCAAAGCATTAGATACAAATTATTACCACCAAGCTCCCAAGTTTTTAAAATTTCCCAGTTACTATACAAAATTCATTTTAAGAAAGGAAAAAGATGAGAAATACTCACAATCATTAGAGGCCAGTCTGATGCAGAGATGTATCCATGAGGCCCCATCATAGAAAGAGAAACTAATGACAGCAATGGTAGGAGAGAGAATAAATAAGAGTTAATTCATAATCAGTCCTTTCTGAAGTCTTTTCCTAGAAAACTCCATGAATACAAACCATGCTAACAAATGCTAAATTTTTACCTTACCTGCAGCACAAGATACTTAACTGTTTTATTATGTAATCTCTTCAAGATACCTTTACTCTTGTACACAAGCTATTATAAAAACCTGTGTCAAATCTGATCTTATAAAAAAAGTACTACAGAATGGCCCCCTTGACACTTCCCTGATCTCACTAAAGACCTTAATTTCCTTAATGTACCTTGAATCAATCACTGAACTCAAGCATGGAATTTGGATTTTAGCTCAGAGGCAATTACAGTGCAAGACATGCAGCCCTCTTACCAGCAAGCAGGAACTTAAAACTGCCTGTTGGGAATGAAAAGGGGCCAAAGTCAATGCTATGGTCTGAATGCCCCCCCCCAAATTCATGTGTTAATACTTAATTCTCATTGTGTGATATTAAGAAGTAGGTCTTTAGGCTGAGGATATAACTTTGTGGTAAAGCATTTGCCTAGCATGCGTGGAGCAAGAAAAAAAAAAGTGGGGCCCCTTGTGAATTTGGGAAGCCCTTATGAATATATTAATGCCTTATAAAAGTGTTAACAGGGAACTACATTAGGCCCTTTGTAGCTTTTATTCTCACAATATAAGGACATAGCATTCCTCCCCTTTTGCTCTTCCATCCTTTCTGAAATGTGAGGACAGAGTTCAGGGCACCATTCTGCAAGCACACAAGGGACCCTCATGAGACATGGAACCCGACTTCCAAGCCTCCAAAACCATGAGGAGATAAATATCTGTCCTTTATAAATTATTTAGTGTCACATATTTTATTACAGAAGCATAAAACAGACTAAGACAGGTGGCAGGATGGTGGCAAGGCCCCTGCTCCCTGTATTTAGCAGGATCTGGCCATGATGCTGCCTCCAGGAGGAAGCCCTACTTCATTCACATTCCTCCAAAGTAGCCATGACCAGCAGCTTCCCACACGGGCCCCATGGTCCACTTGCTCCATGCTTCCTCTGCCATGGTACCGGTTTTGCCTCTGAGTTTCTGTCCCCACTGGACTAGGCACTCCTTAAAGCAAAGTCAATCTTCACTCCTAGTCCCCAGTGTCTGAAGCAGATCACTTTGCAAATGCCCAGGAGCGCCACAGGCCGTTTGGCTATTGTTGGCCCAGCTGACAGCACTGTGGAACACATCCGCCAGAGCAATTCTGGGTTTTGTGAAAATACTTACTGTTTACTGAGCCTGCTATTGTGGGCACTAAGGAACTTCAGATTAATGAGGCAAAGGACTGTGAGGATGGGGGACCGTGGAACTGTGGAAGGCCATGTGCTACTTCTGCTAGGCTAGACAGAGTCCTGCCCTTTTCAAGGAAGAGAGTACAGACTACTTCAAATACAACTGAGATGTGGCCTATACATTTCTACATGTAAAAACAGTTAATCTGAAAAGATGGAGAATTTTATATTACATTGTGAAGTTTGAAATATTAAAAATCTATCTTAAATATTCAAATTTGTCAATTTAATTAACTTAAAAATTATCCTGTTAACTATAAATTTTTAATTCATTAAAAATATTAACATTAAGATAAACATAAAGCTTTAAGTCCTCAAAATAAATATATGACTAACATCCATTTTTGAAAGACATGCTTTTAACAGAGACTGTAGATTCAAATGAATGGAAAAAAACACAGAACACAGAAAATGCAGGCAGTAAGCAAATATGTACGTGATTCAACTATACCATTCAGATTCCAGCTGGCATGTGTTTTCTCCGTTTTAATAGAAACAATAAAGATATGAAAGCCATCTCTCTGTGTCCTGGCTACAACATCCTGAAATAAGGAAAAAAGTCTTTGTTATTTTAAACAAATTGCTATATGAGACAGAATTACACAACTGTTCACTTTTGTGAACACTTTTTCACAAAAAAAGTGTGTGTGTGTGTGTGTGTGTGTGTGTATGTGTGTGTGAGACTGGGGTTTGAACTCGGCGCCTTGTGCTTATTAGGCAAGAGTTCTACCACGTAAGCCATGCTTCCAGTCCTATTCACCACACTGTATGACAATTTTGGGTAAATGAATTGGGTTACTTTTAAAAAACACAAAGAGAAAACAGAAAAGGAATGGTAGGTGGTAAAAGGATAGATACTGCCTTCATTTTTTTCTTACTACCATCCTCCCAGACCCAAAGGGTAGAGGGGGAAAAAGTTTTTCTCATTCATTTTTTACAGGCTCCCCCCATACTAACCATTGTTTTGTTTATCATTTAAATATGTTTTCTAATATTACTCTTCTCATAGTTTATCCTAAAATTATCAAGCTTGCAGTTTTAATTACATGTTTTAAAAAACTGAACTGAGGAAGGAGGAAGTCAGATGACATTGTCAGAAATGAGTCAGACTAAGTCAACTAGCTACTTGGGAGGCTGAGGCAGGAGGATCTCAGGTTCAAGGTTGGCCTGGGCAACACAGCAACACATTTCAAAGAAAAAAAAAAAAAAGTCATATTAAGCATAGTCATCCCTCAGTATCCATGGGGGACTGGTTCCAGGTCCACCTCCCCCCTACCCAACAGATATCAAAATCCATGGGTGCTTAAGCCTCTTATATAAAATGGCAGGGTATTTGTGCATAACTTATATACATCCTCCTGCATGCTTAAAATCATTTCTAGATTATAATACTTAACATACTGTAAATGTTATGCAAGTAATTGTTACATTGTACTATTTAGGTCATAATGACAAGACAAAATTCTGTATACATTCAGTACAGAATTTTCCAGATATTTTGATCTGCAGCTGGCTGTATCCATGGATGCAAAATCCATGGATGCAGAGCTTGTAGGTGCCAAGGGCCAACTCTAGCTAGACAGGCTAACTGATTCAGATTTCTTAAGGTACTATGGTACTGCAGCCCTACTAAGGAAGAAAACCGTAATGGTAATGAATCTTCCCTTAGCTCCACATAACTGGACAAGCTTGGCAAATCCTACCTTCCTGAATATTTCTATCTCCACCTTTCATGTCCTATAACTCCACAACAGACAGGTTGTGCAGTCTGTCCTGGGTACCGCAGAGTGAGTGCCTCTATCAGACTTTTCTTTAGGACAGCCAAAGAGGATATGAAGTCGCATATAAAAGCAAACATTAAGTTCTCCTAAACCCGATTTTGGTCACTACATGTAACTCCTTCTAACCCTTAACTCAGTCTTCTCACTTTTAGTCACTTCCCTGAATACCAATTTTCCTCCCCCACCATGGTTTCACAACTTTAATAATGAATTGGAATTGTATTTTTTCAAGAAAAGAAAGGCTGCACTGAAGTTCATCTTAAATTACAACTTTAAAGAGATTTTTTAAACAAAGAAACAGCTTATGCAGAATTTCAGATGCCTCTAAGAAAGCATACTGTTTTAAATAGCTTCTTTTTTCTTCTCTAATTTTGAAAACCGTATTAATAACCCTATTCATTCTCTAAGTATCAGCTCAGCAGATTTTTTTCTGTTTTACTATAACTTGTGCACATTTTATTTGAACACAAATAAAATGGTTTACCATCGATCTTTCCCGGTTGGAAACATTTCTGATACTTGTTAATTCTTTATTCTGGAAAAAAAAAAAAAAAAAAAAGAGTAAATAATTCTATTTTATAGTGTTATACTTCTATGGGGAAGTATATTATACTTCTATGGGGACAAGTATTTAAAAAAAAAAATTGTATTAGAAGAAAATAAAGATCTGATAGCTACGTGTAATGGTTCATGCCTGTAACCCCAGCTACTCAGGAGACAGAGATAAGGAGGATGATAGTTCAAGATCGGTCTAGGCAAAAAGTTAGTGAGACCCCATCTCAACAAACAAATCAGGTTTATAATCCCAGCTACACAAGAGACATAGGTAGGAGGATCATTATCCAAGGCTGACCTGGCCAAAAATTACAAGACCCTATCTGAAAAATAACTTAAAGCAAAAAGGGCTGGCCATGTGGCTCAAGTGGTAAAGCACCTACTTAGCAAGTGCAAGTCCCTGAGTTCAAACCCCAGTACCACCAAAAAAAAAAAAACTCGAGTTCAAAGAATAAATCTCATTGTACTCCGAATATGAGTAACAAAATCCTAGTTTTTGCAAATGACTTAAGCATGTGGTTACTGTTGAATCGTGGTTACCATTGGTGGGGAAAGTGTTAGTAAAGCAAAGGGGGTTCTAGGTGCTAAACTATTCTATACTCAATCAGGGTCTAAAAAGGTATGATTAGTTTTTGAAAATACATTGAGGTGTATACTTATGCACACTTTTTGTATGTTTATTACACTTATACACAAATTTTTTAAAGAATTTCTTAAACTTCTACTAAACATATATTTTCTTTTAGAATTTCCAGAACAAAAATAAGTTAAAATGACCCATGCATGGATTATTCAGGGAGGATGGCTCTTCACGTTTATGATCTGACTGCTGCACAGAGGAGGGAGGGTTCAAGTGTGAACTACTGCTAGCAAGTTAAGACCTTCGGCAAGAGTAACATATCACTAGATTTAATAACATGCAGGTCACTGGTGACCTTGACTAGGGCTGATGAGATGAGGGCAAAGGGCTAAGCATAGTGGAGAGAAGAAAGAATGAGAGAGAAATTGGAAACAATCGTGAAAGACTCTTACAAGGATGTTTTGACAAAGACATGCAAAGAAATGGAACAAGGATGTCAATATCTTACTTACTATATACTACTATACACACACAAAAACTAAAACTAAGAGTTAACAAATTAAGTACCTTTGTTGAAATAAGGATAAAATGTTACTTAAGTTCATATTTGTACTAACTATAAATAACATAAACTCTTTTTTGCTGTTGTTTTGTAGTGAGGTTTGAATTCAATGCCTGGAGTTTGCTATGTAAGCACTCTACCACTTGAGCCATGCCCCCAACCCTTTTGATTTCATTCTGTTTTTGAGATAGGGTCTCACTATCTTTTAGCTGGGGCTGGCCTCCGGCTCACAATTCTTCTACTTCCAGCTCCAGAGGAGATGGGATGACAGATGTGTGCCACCACACCCTGCTGTAATAAACTATTTTAACACAGCAAAAGAGATACTCACATTTACCGAGGGAAACACCTGTAAATCACTGTTGCAATCCAGATTTTCATTTTTTGTTGTCCAACAGTCAATGTTTTTGAAATAACCACAAAAGTCTTCATCAACACGCAGTTCATGATTTTGGGACATCTCCTACCCAAGGTAAAATTCTATGTTATAATTTATTTCTATACTTCTTTTCCTAGAAGATAAATAAAACTTAATATCTAAATAATAACAAGAGTTAAGTCAGTTTGGAATACTCAAAAATATACAGCAAAATAAGATACCAAAGAGAAAAAAAAACTGAATACAATTCTAAGGATAACTGAGGTAATCATTAACATTTTAGCATACCCCACCCCCATAATCCCAGTACTTGGGAGGCTGAGGCTGGAGAATCTCAAATTTGAGGTCAGACTGGGCTATGTACCAGTCTGAGTTCCAAAAAGAAAAAAACATACCACCACAAAGAAATAGGTCCCAGAAAAATAAAGTATGCCCTATCCTGGTACTACTTCTAATTTTATCAAGTGTGAAAAAGATTTTACCGGAAAAAAATACATTTTATTACAAAAAAAAGATAAACCAAACAGTAACATAAAGCCAAAGGAGCTAATCCATGAAAGAGAAGAAACAAACATACTCCAACAACCCAAGGTTCCTTGCATACTAGAATAGGTGAATAAACCAAGCTCCTACTGGCAGCTCCCAGTCACTAAAAAAAGTTGGCTGCCACAGAGCAAATGTAGGAAAAGTTGAGCAAAGTAGGTAAAAAATAATATTGTAACCTATATAGTAAAGTAAAAATTAATGTGTCTATACTGGTGGTGATTCATTGACAGGTAAGATACAGTTTTGAAAAGGGAGAACTCATCCATATAAAACAATGTTAGTAAGTGTAAAAAATACATGGAATTATAAAATCATCATTTAGCAATCACTAGAGTAACAACTGACTCATTAGGCAAGAATCATGAAAGGATGCTCAAATAAATCAATGAATATTTGGTTAAAGAAAAACAACAGCTGGGAGGGGGCGGGGGGAAGGGGGGAGAAATGACCCAAACAATGTATGCACATATGAATAAACAAATTAAAAAAAAAAGAAAAACAACAGGATATTTACAGTTTCAAAAATATTTCCCCACAAATTGTTGTTAATAACAAAAATGAAAATACTGACTTCATAGTGCAGAAAAATAGCAGATACCTCCTTAACCAACTGATCAAATTAGTATCACAAAAACAGGACAAAGCAGTATTCTGTGGAATTACAACTAGAAATGTATAACCAATCTCCTTTAACTATTACATCTTTATACTTCTAATTTTTGCTTCATAGGTTTATTTTATATACATTAAAGATTTGTGTTTTACTTACCTCCAGCTCAGGATATTCATTATGACAGGTATGATACTTCAAATGCCACTCTATGGTAAACTTCACAGGCCCAGAACAACTGAATGACTTAACTGTTTAGACAAAAAAGTCTTGTTTTACATTTATACATACATATACACATACACACACACATATATATAGTCTAACATAAACTGAATGATTTTTAAGAATGCAATTTAAAACCAGCTACTTTAATGTAACAAGTAAAACATCATCTAATTTCTCCAAAAGACACTGCAAAGTGAGATAAATTCATTAAATTATTATAGCTAATCAAAAGTTGCTATTAACAATATTATTTGTGAGTCTAATGTTGGAATCCACTGAGTAGCCTGATATACTAAGTCACATCTTGTATCAATCTATCAAAATACACTGAATGAGCCCCCTGCTGTGTGCCAGGAGGGGATATGATAGCAAACAAGAACAATTCCTGTCTATGACCTAAGAAGTATAGAAGAGCAGAGGGCTAACAATTAAGCAGGCACTTTTAGTAGACTAAGAGAGCACTGGGCAGGACACTTAACACAGTCTAGAAGCATGAAGCACAGTTATGGGCAGGCTAGCTAAAGGAGGAGGAAAAAGAAGTCAGTGAGGTGAAGAGGGTAGAGATAGGCAAAGGCCCAAATGTGAACATGACATGAGTATGACCACCTGAAGATGGTTCTCTATGGTTAGAACAGATTGGAGGAAAAGGGAAGATTGAAGTTGGAGAACAGTGCTAGAAAAACTCAAAGGTCTTACATTCTGCCAAGAATTTGGCTTTTGAGTATCATGAAGTACCACCAAATGTTTCCAGTTCTGGGCGATTTGATCAGACAGATTGAAAAGGGTTAAATCTAAAGTTAGAGAAAGCTCTGTTGGGAGTATCCTTAAACATGGCAGCTGCTATCCCAGAGCAGTGATCAGGGAAGGAGCAAAGGAGGAGCCAGAGCATCTTTTACAGCATAGTCACAGGAGTGACCACACTGACATTTCATGACCACAGTCTATTGATAACTGAGACCAACTATGATATAATGTGGTAGAGGACTGTACAAGGCCATGAGTACCAGAGGCAAGGATCACTGGGAGTTTATCTTAAAGTCTGGGAGCCATACAGAGGGAGCCCAAAATGAGCCCAGAGATGGAAGTCTAAGAGACTAAAGCTGATAGAATATCTAGGGCTTACATCTCTGGTAGCAACACAGAGAATGAGTAAGAGAAATCTGCATTGAAATCCCTGTGGATCTTTGGCCGAAAAGCAGCCATCTATCTATGCATTAAGCAGAAGTGTGGCTGGGCAACGGTGCCTCAAGCCTGTAATACTAGCTACCCAGGAGGCTGAGATCAGGAGGATTGAGATTCAAAGCCAATCCAGGCAAACAGTTCAGAGACCCTATCTCAAGAAAAACCTATCACAAAAATAGGGCTGGTGGAGTGGCTTGTGGTAAAGGTCCTAAGTTCAAGCCCCATACTGCAAAAAAAAAAAAAAAAAGTCCAAAAACTCTCAGAGCTCACGGTTTCCAGTAGTTTGGGTTTCCACTAGTCAGAGTGGAGAGGTCTCATTAAATACATTAAACATTCAAGAAAGACAGTGGTGCTAAGTTAGCCTTGGTCTAATACTCCTCTAGATCCATCCTAAAATAACAAAAACAAAATTGGAAAGGATTAAACTGACCTCACAAGAAACTGTTCAAATAAAGTTGTTAAAGGACTACAACATCATCAGCACTTAAGAATGGAAAATTCACAATATCCATCATACAAATAAAAACACTGCAGGAAAGTTTGTCAAATAACCATTATATGTATCAGTTCATATGACAGAGATGATGGGATTAGCAGATCATGATGTGAAAACAAACATGTTACATATGCTCCAAGATGTAAAGAAAAACATCAAAATACTAAGAAGGGAAATAAGATATTAAAAAAGAACCAATAACTCTTCTGGAGACTAAAAATATTTTAAAATACAGTATCTGAAATAAAAAAGGTCACTGTATGATACTAAACAGCAGATTAGGTGGTACAGAAGACAAGATCAATTAATTTGAAGACAAAACAAAATACACAAAATGAAGCACAGAATGGAGTCTGAAAAGAAAAATTAACAGAGCCCCTCAGCAACCTGTGGGACAACATGAACTGGTGTCACACGTAGATGGAGCCCCAAAAGGAGAAAGAAGAAAGTAGGGGATAGAGGGTCTACGTCCATCATCTGAAGTAAGAATTGAGATTTTTTCCATACAGATACCCAATTGTTTCAGCATCAACTGTTAAATTACCCTGGGACCTCTGTTGAAAAAACCAATTGGCCTTATGTATATGGTTTGTTTTGGGGCTCTCTAGTCTGTTTCATTGTTCTATCCATATGCCAGACCACCTTGCCATGATTCTATAGCTTTATGTAGGTTTTTAAATCAGACAGTAAAAGCCCCTCAACCTTATTCTTTTTCAAAATTGTTTTGGCTATCCTAGATTCTTTGTATTTTCATATAAATTATAGAAATAGCTAATTTCTATATAAAAGCCCGCTTAGATTCTGACAGATTACATTGAATTTATAGAGCAATCTGAAGAGAGTGACAGCATGATGTTAGCTATAGATTTTTCCTAAACTCCTTTTATCAGGTTGAGGGAGCTTTTTTTATTTCTAGTTTTCTGAGTTTTTATCATGAATGAGTATTTAATTTTTTTTCAAATGCTTTTTCTGGACATACTGAGATAAAAAGCTAGTATATTTCTTTTATTCTATTTCATATGAATTACACTGAGAGAATTTTCATCACTGGCTCCACATAATTGCATCTAGAACAGAGTAGCAAAAGAAGAGGTCACTAAGGGAAAGCCAAGCGTCTGATCCCCAAAACAGCATAAGCACTCAGGTAGATGCTTCCAGCTACATGAGACTGCTAAAGTGTGACTCAAGATCTCTCTTCTGACAGTGCTATTGGCCACGGCCAATATTGTCCTGATTAAAGCCCAGCTGTGCTATGCTTCTACTCTAAAATCCTTTGTGTTGTCCCATTCTTCACTCTCAAGCATTATGTAATGATGTCTTCAAATCATATTGTGTATCAGTGGCCTGCATTACTTTTGTAACTGAGTGTCAGTTCTGGTGTGAGGTTCTTTTAAAGCCTATTTGTCTAGCCTTTAAGACACGAATTCATTTAAAAAAATGAATTTTTCCTTGCCTACTTGAGACTTCAATTCCTCTTCCTATAGTGATCCAGAAAGCATCTCTGAACCACCTGTGCTTTCTAGCTGTTGGCTGTCAACTTCCTTTAGAAAGCCCCCACAAATGGTAGAATCGTCCCTAACACAGGGCTTCCTGGGGAAGCCAGTTTTGCTTTACCCAATGAAGACTGTTCCTTATCCTGAGACTTTGGCAACCAACTTCCCTGGTCAAGATACTAGAAACAATAACAGGAATTATATCCAGTAAATAGAAACCAATATTAAGCCACTCAAAATATCAAAAATCATTGGTAGTCCTGTTGTATCAGTATTTACACACAAAAAGAAGTATCTAACAAATATTTTCACTTTAGTAAGCCCTAAAACTCTAAGTAAAATGTTAGTGTCCAGCAATTTTTATTCCACACTATATCATGGACATACAGAAAATTTTTAGCACCATAAAGGTTTCATCAGAATTACAACATTCCATATATTCACAAAATAAATTTTATCTAGTTTTAAAGTCTGGGACTCAAAGTCAAGTTTGACAAAAAACAAATACTTTCTTTTTTTGCTGAAGTTTGCTTTATTAGACCTTAAAATTTTAAAAAAATGATTCATACTACATTTTCTAGGCAGGTTCTTTTACCACTTAAGCCACTTCTCCAGCCAACATTTTTGGAAAGAGGATTAGAAAAATTCATTCTTGCAAATAACCAAGTCTTAACTGAAACATGACTCTAAAATCTTAGAACCAGTTAAAAACAAAGCACTTAGCTTACTATATATTATAAGGTTATGTTAGAGTTTACATTAATGTATTATTTATATATAATGTATATTAGATGTTTATTATTATACTTACCAGAAAACTTGATGTCAGTAGAGTTAAACATAGTTTTCCTAAATATCAAGGGTCCTGAGTTCTAAAACAAAAAAGCAAACTATAAAAAGCTCTTGTTTTAATTTTTTCCAGTGTTAAGAAGAGGTTTTACCTGCTAAATATTAAAACTCTAATGCCTTAACTCCTCTGTCTGACCAGAATATCTTATTAATATAAATATGGTGTGTGTGTATATATATAATTATAATATATAATATATATAATATATATATATATTTGGTTTTTTTTTGGTGTACTACGGGTTTTGAACTGAGGATCTTGCAACTTGCTAGATAAGATGCCTACACCACTTGGAGCATATTTGCATGGCAAATTTGCAAATCCAATCACATCACTTACTTGCTTAAAATATTGTCCCTTGTGTCTACCCCTGCAAGTTGCTATGTGGAGCACCCGAAGCACCCCTTGCCCAAGTGGTCTAGATGGGTTGGTGGACACCTAGGACAAGGGCTGCTGCCATTGCAGTAAGCTCTGCTCAAGATATGACATGAACTGTATGTGCATTGCTTTTGCTCTCTTGGTATCAGTGTATGGTACGCTTTTTCCTTTTTTATGGTGGTACTAGGTTTAAATTCCAGGATGTTGTGGCTTGCTAGGCAGGCATACTAACCAGTGAGTTAGGCCCTCCCAGCCCTTTTTGCTTTTAGTTATTTTTGGGGACTGGGTCTTGCATTTATACCTGGGCCAGCCTGAACACAATCCTATATTAAGCTTCTCTTGTAGCTGCGATGACAAGGCAATGCAACACCATGCCCAGCATTTTGGCTGAGATAGGCTCCTCATCAAATGTGTGATGATCCCAATTTCTGCGCTCCTGAGTAGCTAGGATTATATGACATGAACAACCAAGCCCAGCTTGATTTTGGTTATTTTTGACGATAGGGTCATGCATTATGCCCATAGGTCTGGCCTTGAACTAATGATTCTCCTATTTATTCTTCCTGTGTTGCGGGGATGACAGGCACATGCCACAACATTCCAGTTTTTTTATTGGTTGAGATGTGTGTGTTGGGGGAGGGGTCTCAAGAACTGTATGGGCTGGCTTGAATCAATGTTTCCTCTCATCTCTTGCTTAAGACACAGTGCCTACTGTGTATATACTTTTGATAAACAGTAAATTCGCTCTCAAATTGTTACGGCTTACCAACTGGAATTAGCAGTAGATCAACAATCCTACAGACCTGAATCAATCTCTCTCCAAGTAATGTTTCAACTCTGGAAAAGTGTGACACTCCTTCCTAAACTCAAAGGACCTTACTGGTCAACCTGAAAACTTACTTAACAGCCCTCTCTCACACTCAAACTGTTTGCTGAACTATAAAGTCAAAAGAAACCATTTCTGACAGAAATTTGCAGTACAAATACAAGAGAGCACAACTCTCTTTCATATTTTGGAAGGGCAAGTTCTGGACAACAATTGATGGGGGGGGTAGCCTATTTTGTGGCAAAAGGGGCTTATAGATTATTTGCTGACAGAGTTACATAGTAATAAAGTCCAGCCTGATCAAATTACATGGCAAATTTCTTTCTTCCTTATGCAGGAAATCCAAAGTCATTCTTCTCTGTTGGACTTTGAATTTTCATCATCCAACAGTATACCTGGCAAAGGATGCTTTATAGATAATTCAGTAGACTAACATTTTTTCATGCAGCAATTCCACTTTCCATTATCTTACTCTTTAATTTGTAATAACTTGGCTTGGTTGCATTCATCTATCGAAACAGCAAGACACCGTTTAAGTGGTGGTTCACCAAATTTTCCTTTTTAACTAACTGTTCAGGGAAATTCAGTAGTGGAGGTGTGCCAGATTATACAGGGCACCAACTCCGAATCCTGGAAGAAATGGCTGGCACTTGAGTCTGAAAGATACAGAAGATAACCCTACATTTTGAGCCTCTGCAGCAGCTTTTGGTTGTAGAACTATTTGTAGGTTCTGGTAATATTTTTTTTTTTTGAGGAAACATTGACATATTTTATCTTTAGAAACTTTAGACTGTCATTTTCAAATGCATGTGGAACCACTCATTCCATAAACAGAGCTTGGATGAAGTCATCCATCTGACCTAAGATGCAACTAGCAAGAGACTTCCTGTCGTCCGTTTGAAAGACTGCCTAATTCTAACCCCCTGCATTGCTCCCACATCCTCAACTACAAGAACACCAAGCTCTCTAATGAACCTGCCGCTGTGAAGGAATGAGTTTCATCCACCACCCATGCTCCGATCGCCTTTCAACACTACATACGTATTAATCACAACCCGCCCACTTCACACGCACAGTCCCGGCAACTGTTGACAGGGAACCGACAGAAAATGCCCAACCACAGATGAGGAAAAAAAGAAGTGGGGTGACTACAGCATGGTCCCTGCTCGTTTAATTTAAAAACAAAAACAAAAAAACCGAAGCGGCATACATGCTTTCCAAATTTAATAGAGGCCTCTTGTGGCCGATAGGGATTGTGGGTGGTCGGTGTCTGCATTGAACTGAAGATGGGGACCTCGTGGAGCATAAACAAGTCCCGTGCAGAATGCTGCCCAGCCGGGCCAGAGGAGGGGCGCTCTTGCGCAACCGCGAGCTTGCAGACAAAAGGCTCAGGGGATGTATCGGGGGATGCAGCCCACAGGCCCGAGCCATGGGGTGAGGACCCCGGAGGGCGCCTGAGATCGGAGACGCGCCCGCATCTCAGCCGCCCAACACTTCTCACGTTATTGAACCGTCTTGTGTCACAGCCGAGCTCAGGGACGGCGTCCACAGCCGCTGGGAACTAGCCACAGTAAGGCACAGAGCATGAGCGACAGACGGGACCCCCCGGCGGGCAGGATACCTAAGACCGCCGGGCCGAAAGAAGACCCAAGGGGGCCAGGAGGCGGCCATCTTGATGCGGAAGCGCCCACTTGGCGGCTGCCGGACGCCAGCCACGCCCCGGACGTGCCAACGCTGGCGTTAGCTTCCGCCCCTCCCGGGGGGCGATCCGGTCCGGAAGGGGGATGCGGCGGAGGGCCTGGGCTACGGGGCCGGAGCTTGGAGGCCGAGGCTTATTGGCCCGCCTGGCTGAGGAAACTAGAGGAGAGGGTGGAGGGGAGGGGTGAGAAAGTCCGGACAACATTTGGGGTGGGGCCAGCGGTGGGAAGATTGGGCAGCGTGGCGAGGGGCGTGGCCAGTGTGGACGCGGGCCGAGACGTAAGAGGGGAAGGGGCGGGGAGGCAAAGATCGAGTACGGAGGCGGACTGCAAGCGAAACGGGGGTCAGGGCGTGGGCGGGGCGGAGCCGGAGCCAGGACTGGGATTGGGCCAGCTAGCTGGGAGGGGGACTCAGGAACCTGGCCGGAATTGGAGGCGCGGTCCTCTGGGAGGTGCCTATGGGCCGAGGGGTACCAAACTACAGTCTGGACTGTATGATCAGAGTGATTGAAGTCAACATTGAGAGGCAGATAATTACGATTTGAAAGCAAGAAGGATAAAGCTGACCAGAAAGATGACATTTGGGGCAGATGCTGATGGCTTCACGCCTGTAATCTAGCTACTCAGGAGGCAGCAAATCAAGAGGATCATCGCCGCTTCAAAGCAGCCTCAAGGCAAAAAATACATCACAAAAAAGGACTGGCCAGGCGTGGCTCAAGTGGTGAGACACTACTAGCAAGCATGAAGCCCTGAGTGGCACCAATTAAAAAAAAAAAAGATGATTTTTTTGGTTGTCATATGAGATCTGTTTAAGGTGGGGCAAGGGATACGCAGTCCCAAGGCAATTACAATAATTTAAAAAAGGAAATCTGTCATTTGCAGCAACATGGATGGAACTGGAGGATATTAATGTTTTAAGAGAAATAAGACAGGTATAGAAAGACAAATTACTGAAAAATGTGGTTTCTCACATGTGGAAGCTAAAAAAATATTTTTCAAAAAAAATAGGTAATAGTGGATCACTAGAGGCCTAGGAAATGTTAGAGGAGGAGACAGAAAGGGAGGTGGATAGTGAGCTTATAACGACTCAGAAAAGTGGTTCAGCATGTGCGACGGCCTTGGTTTGATCCGCCAGAGCTACTAAAAAAAAAATAAATAAGAGTTTAAAGGTTGTCAACACAAAGCAAGGAATATATATATTTTAATGTCAATTTAAAATTTTTGAAAAGAATATTATCATTTACATGGACCCAGCTAAGTTAAGAATAACTTACAGTAATTCAGATGGTCGTCTTCAACGCACAGGAACAATAGGGATAAAATTTGAAATGGATTTCAGTGACATGAAGGATGGAGATTTGAAATGAAAAAAATCGTGGTGAACTCACAACCTGTAAATCTAGTACTCAGGAGGTACAGATCAGGAGGATTGTTAATTTTGAAGCAATCCAGGACAATGGTTTACACAGGACCCTATCTTTGAAATACTAAATACTCAACCAAAAGAGGGCTGGCAGAGTGGATGAAGTGGTAAGAGTGCTGCTAAAAAGGAGTGGGTACTGAGTTCAATTCCCAGAGCCACAAACAAACAAAAAAAAAAAGGAAAGAAAGCAAAAGTCATGGTGATTGATTAGCTTTTGGAGGGAGGAATTGAGACTAGTATGCAGGTTCTGTAAAAACAACTGAGATGTGGAAACACCAAGAGGAGAAAAAAACTTACCAAAAGTTAAGTCAGCTGTTTTGGGTTGATTCAAGGAGAGCCCATGGCAGTGGACAGGCTATATACGAGTCCGGAAAAGCAACTGAGGTTTTTATGATCATCCTCAACATATGTAGGTAGAGACTAACATCATGGAAGATGGTGAAAATTGCAAAGTAGACAGGAACAGTAGGAGAAAGACAAAGGTCACTGGCAGGAAGTTGTTGGAGCAATTTAAGACAGTGGATTTCAAACCTGGCTGCCCAAGAAAGATGATTTTATAAAAGTCATCACCTCTTTCCCGAGGAAAAGAGAAGTAAAGATTGTATAAATTTTTTTTTTGTCAGTATTAGTGTTTTTTTGTACTCGTCAGGATCTCACTCTTACGAAGCACGTGCTCTAAAGCACTGGAGCAT